TCTCTCTCTCTCTCTCTCTCTCTCTCTCTCTCTCTCTCTCTGTGTACGTGTGTGTACATGTGTGCTCATGCATGCCTGAGTGCCGGTGCCTGCGGAGGCCACAGGCATCAGCTCCCCTAGAACTGGAGTTACAAGAATTGGACATGGATGGTGGTAGCTGGAATCAGGTTCTCTGCAAGAGCAGTGAACACTCTAACTCTCTCTGTCCCCTTCACCTTGTTTTTGAGACAAGGGTCTCTGAATTGGCCAGTAAGGCCCAGGGGTCCTCCTCTCTATCTCCTGAGCACTGGCATTACTAGTGATTTGACTCAGGGACTTTACTAATTGGGCTATCTCTCCAACCAGTACATTTTATTATCCTCAGATGGCTCGTGACACTTAGTACAATATGAATGCTATGCCAGTGGCTGCCATGTGTTATTCAGGAGAAAGCAATGAGGGAAAATGTATACACTCCAAACAGAGGCAGTATTTGTTTTTTCGAGACAGGGTTTGTCTGTATAGCCCTGGCTGTCCTGAAACTCACTCTGTAGACCAAGTTGACCTCTAACTCAGAAATCTGCCTGCCTCTGCCTCCCAAGTGCTGGGGTTAGAGGCATGTGCCACCACTGCCCAGCCAGAGGCAAAGTCTTAGAAGTAAATTAAGTTTTTATTATTATTTTATGTATATGTGTATTTTGCCTGCATGTGTATCTGTACCCAACATACATGCCTGGTGCTCATGGAGATAAGAAGGCATCAGATCCCTTGGAACTGGAGTTACAGGTAGTTGTGAGCTGCCATGTGGGTGCTGGAAACTGAACCTAGGTTATTATGAGAAAGCAGCCAGTGCTCTTAACTGTCAAGCCATCTCTAGCCCCCTTAAAAATATTTTTAATTCTGTGGTTGGTTTGGGGCAGGGAAATTTTTAGTGACATGAGAAGAGGACCCCTGCACCCTGGAATCAAGTTGAGACCTCCCACCAGCAAAGCAAGAACTCTCTAGCCCAGGTGACCATGCTGCTCAAGGCCTTTCTCTCTCCCAGATGTAAAGTGGCAATTTTCTTGGGACCTCATCAGAAATCCCATTTATGGGGAAAGGATATAACAGTGGCTTCTGGTTTTACCTCCTCAGGCTATAATCTCATCCCAAGCATTGTTGGAGCCACCTCACTATCTCATCAAAAGAATAAGAAATGGGGAGGAAAACTGTAGTAATCTCTTGAGATGTAACTTGAGAGCCATCAAATGGTATACATGGCCAATACTAAGACAATTAAGATGTCTCTCCCTTGAGGAACCCCTGTCCATGCTTGCATATATCTTACTTTCCCCTACTGTCCCTTGGAAAGCACCCCCCCCCCAAAGCACACACATCTGAGTGTGTCTTACTTTCTTCTTACTGGCTCTCTTCTTCTAAACCCTCATACATCTCCAAAGATCAACTCTAATGTTTCTTCTCCTGTTCTGTACACCCATACTTTATGATACATTCATAAACAACATCTCTTTGATTATATTAAACTATTAAATAAACCACCACAAACACATCCTTTCACACCTTTTTCTTTTGCCAGATGATATTTTGTGAGAATTAGTTACACTTCTGAGTCACTTAATGCTTTAGAGTAGGGGTACAGGGTCTCATGTAGCCCAGACTGGCCTAAAACTTATTATGTAGCTGAGAAGGGTCTTCAACTAATTCTCCTGCCTCTACCTGAGTGCCAGGATAACAGGTGTGTGTTGTATGGCCAGCTTGATTTATTCATTTTTGTTGCTCACTATGAAACAGTATCTGCATGAACCATAATTTATTCATCATTGATGGACAGCTTTTTCTAATCTTTCTGCCTTTCCAAATGATTCTGTAATAAGCATTCTTGTAGGACTGCTTGTATGCATGGGGCTGAGTTGTGTCCAGCAGATGGGAGCTGATTCCCATATGCCATGAGCAGGTGAGCGCAGACATAGTGTCAGGATCTGAGTAGTGACATCATTGCTGTGACATCCTTGCCATGTGTACTAAAGGACTGATGTGCAACAGCCTGGAAATTTTAGAAATTTTACCGTAGACTATTGAAAAGCATACTCTAGAAGGACCAGGAAAAGGGGCTACACTGTGAGGTACAGACATTTCCACCAACAAAAATCTAGGCTGCCCTCCACCAGAGGTGGATGAGCCCTCCTTGTCAGCAGCATGGCGTCAGATCCTGCTGCTCCACAGCCACCCAAGTCGTTGGGAGCTTTGGCCTTTCAACTGTAGCTTTTGCCTTTCTAGTACCTTCTTGATGGCTGTTTGCACATTTTTCCTTCAGGAGGGCACCCACCTTTCCTCAGCTGTGATGTACGGAAGCAGCTTTTTCCGACAGTGCCAATCAGGCAGTCAAAGGCCATCTCCTTGGCATTGAGATGGAGGAGCTGGCTGGCCTCCACAAAGCGCTTGGTGATGTCCAGAGGATTGGCACCTGCTGAGGGAATGAGCAAAGACAAAGTATTTTCCTTCTGGCATCGATGACTCTTACAGAAAAAGACCTTTGCAAATGGCCCAGAAATAGTGAAAAACTAGGAAGGCCCAGGAAAAGGTGAAGACTCACTCATGATGTAAGGATGAGGAGCTCCTGACATGCATACTCGATTGATCAGAGAGCTCAAGATCCAGCAGGCAGCACTGGGAAGTCCCCCTCCCTGCCTGCCTGCCTGCCTATAGCTGAGCACTGAGGCCTCCAAGAAGCTGCTGTTGACACTGCTTTAGGTTCTTCCTGGAATGATGCCCTCAGTTTGGAGGCACTGGGCTCAGAAATTTCCTTGCCATTGGCTGGACCAAACTCTTGATTTACAAATTCTATGTCTTCACTCATCAATGCAGCTCTGCCCACCTCTGCACCATCACCCCAAACTCTTCTTTCAGTGTCTATAACTTTTCACTGCCGCCACTAACTTTCAAATGGGCACTCCAGAGATGGGTGACTGGGAGAGAAGTGGGAGAGCAGAGGGTGCAAAAGGAGGGTACTGGGCAGGGAAGAGGGAAGCACTGCTCTTGCAGCAGACCCATGGCCACCACTCCCTTTCCCAGTGCATATTTATACAGGCTAAGTGTCCCTTACCCAGTGCTTGGGGCTAAAAGAGTGTGAAGCTTTGGGGAGATTGGGGTTTGGGAATGTCTTCCTGTACATACTGAGATATCTGAGGATGGACTCAAAGACATGGAATTCTCTGATGTTTCATGTGTACCCTGTATGCAGACTGAAGATTGTCTTACATGCAAATCATCATGCATTATCAGCTGTGGAATGTTCTGTGGCATCATGTGAGCATTCAACATCCTCAGACTGCAGAGTATTTTAGATTCTGGATTGTGGATGTTCAACTCTCTCTCCTCTCTCTCCTCTCTCTCTCCCCTCTCTCCCCTCTCTCCCCTCT